GTCGTGGGTCGTGGGTAGAACGTCGTGGGTCGTGGGTAAAAAGTCGTGGGTCGTGGGTAAAAAGGCGTGGGTCGTGGGTAAAAAGGCGTGGGTCGTGGGTAAAAAGGCGTGGGTCGTGGGTAAAAAGGCGTGGGTCGTGGGTAAAAAGGCGTGGGTTCCGAATAAAAAGTCGTGGGTTCCGAATAAAAAGTCGTGGGTTCCAAGCAAAATATTTCCATATATTTACCTTTCTCCCTTTGGGATGCGTGTTTTTTTTTTCTTCTGAGGCTTTCCCAAACTATGCCCAAATATGCATAGCTTAGAGCGCGTTAAGGCCGGGTTTTTGATATCGGCAGATCGGTTTATAAATATTATAACCAAGTGTGGATGAAACAAGTTCAACTTCACGCCCCATATAGTTCAAATATTTGGACGTTATAATCTTATAGACAGATAAATTAGTTACTGCAATTCTTCAATAAGAATATGGCTCAAGGCGACATGTACGAAAGCTGAGTAGCACTATCCACTCGATATTATAGTCAAATTTTTATAACCGGCAATGGCATCATATGTTTTCAAAGCTATATATGGAACTGCGGAGTATATAGCTAACCATTTAATTAATGAAATAATATGACATTTGACTTATATATGGTCTTCATGTATATACTATACAAAGAATTCGAAGATCGCCGGTCTGCAAAATAGTGATGCATCGATATCCATATCGGTAATTTTGTTGTTGATATTACTGACATCGTCGTAAACATTACAAGAAAATATATCTCTAGACCAACCAAAGTTGCTGTTATTTAAAACTGCTGAAGTCTATCCTAAACGATTTCTGAAATATCGCAAACTACAAACGGAACAAACCTTGCATGTAAACAATGCTACTCCGGCTGTTATTAAATAAGCGCTGTGAAATTCCCAAATTCCAACTTGCCACCGACTTCGCTGAAACTTGATGCTCAAGAAATATGTAGAAGTATACCTCTCTGTTATCAAACCTACGGTAAAATAGTTCGACAAAAGCCTACTGAAAGATAAGTCAAAGCATGAATGTTACAAAATACTGTATGTGTCACTATGTGACTGTATATTTGTAACTTATATGTTTGCCATTAGAAAATACAAATCACATCATGATAAATTTGACACTAGATTCACTACTTCCTGGTATGTATACATCGTGGCATGTATTTAAGTGAAATCTCTCAAATGCTTTCTTTTATTTTTCCCCTAGTAAATTAACAGACATTGCATTAAATTAACACTGTCCAAGTGGAAATTTCTCGCTTATTACTGTAAGAACATGGATCAACAAATTAGTGAAGCCCTGAATGTCAGAATTTAGCTATTTATGACAGGCTTGACAGCACTATTTCGTATTGAAGAATTACAATATTTATCTGTCTATAAGATTACAACGTCCAAATATTTGAGCTATATGGGGCTTGAAGTTGAACTGTTTCATCCACACTTGGTTATAATATTTATAAACCGATCTGCCGATATCAAAAACCCGGCCTTAACGCGCTCTAAGCTATGCATATTTGGGCATAGTTTGGGAAAGCCTCAGAAGAAAAAAAAACACGCATTCCAAAGGGAGAAAGGTAAATATATGGAAATATTTTGCTTGGAACCCACGACTTTTTATTCGGGACCCACGATCTTTTACCCACGACCCACGATTTTTTACCCACGACTTTTTACCCACGACCCACGCCTTTTTACCCACGACCCACGCCTTTTTACCCACGACCCACGCCTTTTTACCCACGACCCACGCCTTTTTACCCACGACCCACGCCTTTTTACCCACGACCCACGCCTTTTTACCCACGACCCACGCCTTTTTACCCACGACCCACGACATTCTACCCACGACCCACGACCCACGACTGTTAGCTAGTCCCCCGTTACCTCGTCGCCAGTTATAATATTCTATTTTCCTATTTAGTCTAAAATACACACACCAAAATCTATTCTATACACAAGCGTCCTTTTTCCACGAGGTTTCTTTCTCTACCCCCTTTTGTCCCCTATATCCTCTAAATCCATATCGGTCCCTTAATATCAACTATGGTCATAATATAATACAAAATAACTCAAACAGAAACACTATACCAGTATAAATATATAATATGAAACACTCGGGCTGCGTTCTCATGTTTTATATCTGATAAAGCACGTACTGCTGTCTTCATTGGAAGGTCTCAGCATGTTTCACCCAATCGACAAAGGTCGCTGAGAGTCCCTGAGTTATTTCACGATCCCTATAAAGGGTTAGATTTTAGTGATGGACGAAAATCGGAGGACCCGGAGAGAAACCTTCAAAGAGTCCCAATCCCATTTCCCACCTGAAATTTTGGCAAAATCCCAGTCCCAGTTGGATTTTTATTAGAAATCGCAGTCCGAGTTATTGAAATCCCAGTCAATAAAAAAAAGCTATTTATCGGTAGAATAAACAGTTTTAAGACCTTTTTAAGCCACCGTGTGTGCGCACCGTGCGGTAGAAGCGGTTAATGCGCTGTCTCTTGCCACTGAATTAAGCTCGTTACTGCAGGTCGAGGACATGAGTTTACTTCGGACCACTTCGGTCGGCGAATCCTTTCTTTTTGCAGTTCTCGCTTGCAATTGTTTTCGCTAGTTCTCTTGCTGTAGTACATTGTAGGGAGATCAATACATTTGATTTCTGCAATGACAGTTCGTTCGTTTGTTTCCGACATGTCCGACATGACGGTATTTTTTGTTGTGCTTTGCCTTTACTAAGGGTTAAATAAAGTATATACCGGAAACCAGGCATATATTCCGCTGTGCATCTGACTTGGGGACACGCATAATCAGAAAACCCAGAATTCCGGGCGCCAGAGTATGCCTGTTCGCAGGTAGTGCTGTGAATAATATAGTTAACAACAAAAATCATGACCAAAGACACCAAAAACGGATCAAAATTGTATTTTAAAATACTTAAAACGTAGAAAAATTGGGAATCGACTCGCATTACCTCAATCCCATTCCCATTTTTGAGGACTTCATTTCCCATTCCCAGTGGCCAAATCCCAGCAACCCAAATTCCATTTTCCCAGTCTAAAAATAGATCAATCCCAGTTCCCATTTTACCCCTTCAGGACCCTCTTCAAAACGCAGGAGAGAGTCAACCAATTCTACTTAAATTAGTTTTTCCAGCACAGGGAAGTTATAACCAACTTAAGTAAATCCCAGCCTCCAACTTCAGTAAGCAGGCTCGCAGAGGTAAATTTACAGCGCGTTCCTGCACTGAGCTCCATATATATCTGGAGCGAGAACTCGAGTCCAAACTTGTAAAGGCAGCTTCGTGTTAACCGCGCAGTCAAAAACAATAGAAAGTCACTAGAACTGTCGTCCAATAGACCTTTCAATTTCCACCATCTTGGCAAGGAGTACGCCGAAATTTCGTAATTTGATATACATTTAAAGAATAACGCTATGGTTTGATGAACTAATAACTTAGTTAGCGATATGGTCCGTTAGAAAAAACTGAGATTAGCTGGGAAAGTGTGGTAAAAAAGCTGTTTACGACTTTCAGACTGTTGGACGTCAATTACGCCATTTTGGCTTCAATTTTCTCATAGGTCGAATGACTCAAGTTCTTGCTCCAGATATATATAGCGCTCACTGGTTAACTGTTTCTTAAAACGAATTTGATAATATCTATTTACAGCTCATGATGGCGTCCAAACGAAAGAGCACGACTACGATTTTCTGAATCCATTTCCTCTGGATGAACATCATAGAGTAAGATCATCCGAATTCCAGTTTTGTGTCGTTATAATTTTAATTACCTCAGTTGCTTGTACGAGGAGTATCCCCAGTTTTGCTTCATCAAACTTAAAATACTCATTAATAATTCATAAACCTTGTGGCAAATCGTGTCAGCCATAATATGTCACATGGAGTGACTTTATATCTGATAAAACTCATCTTCATTAGTATTTTTTATATATTAATTGTTTATCCTAGTAATTAGTATCGTATCGTCGTATCGTAAAAATTTATTTCAAGACGCTAGCCACTCATCAACATACGTTGGTTTTCATGAACGGCGTCGTCAATTTATATACAAAGTATTTACAAGAAAATACGTAGAAACAAAGAAAAACTATTTACAAGAGTGCATGCTGAATACAGGATGTGTGAACCATACATTAACATTAGTAACAGAATCAAAGATTAATATTTTCTTTGAAAATATGGATTGATCGTGCCTCTTTTGCTTCCCGAGAAAGGCTATTCCTAAGCTTTGCCCCGCTGTATTTAAAACCTTTTTTTAGGAATTCCCTTCTCGTTTTTGGGAGAGCTAAATCAGTATAGCTATTTCTTAAGTTATAGTTCGCTTGCGTTAAACTACTCCCAGTCAATGACTCTTTCAAGTTCGGAGCAGTATAATCGTTTAGAATTTTATACAGAAAAATGGACTTCATCTTCTGTGTTCTACTTTTTAAAGCGGATTCAATTTCGTAACTTGCGCCAGCAATTATTCGAGCTTACTGGAATGAAATTGTTAGCCCTCTGCAACATTGCAATGCCAGATCCAACTTTTTTCACTATCTGTTCGACCTGTTTATCCCAGTATGATTATATAATTTTTCATCCTCATTATGGTATTCTTTAGTAGTCGTATTTTAAGCTATTCAAAACAGGATCGTTGTCGTGTCTTGTCAGATATAAAACGCTCGGCTGCGCCTCGCGTTTTATATCTGATAAAATACTCCTACTCGTGTTTTAAATAGTACACATCATCTTTATTACACCTCTGAACAGTTTAAAACTGATAACCTCGAATATAAAAAAGTTAGTTTAGTTTAAGTTTTCTCCTGCAGTAGGACTGGATCAATAAGGGATGAACAACAACTTATAGAGCTATCCAGTACAAATAAAGTTACTTTAGTTTAGGTTTCCTACTGTAGTAACACTGGATCGATAAAAGACGATCCTTACTGGACTTCTTGGGAGAACAGTTTAGATCTGGTGGAGCTATCCAGTATAAATAAAGTTAGTTTAGTTCAGTTTTCTCCTGTAGTAACAATAGGATCAATAAGAGATGGCTCTCATTGGAGTTTTAAGAAGGCCAGTTTAGAAATGGTGGACTGGTGGAGCTGTCCAGTATAAATAAAGTTAGTTTAGTTTAACTACTGTAATAACACTGGATCAATAAGGGATGGCTCTTACTGGACATCTAGGAAGAACATTTTAAAAATGGTGGAGCTATCCACTAGGAATAAAGGTTATAACAGAAGTCACGAGCATTTATGAAATACGTAATGCAAAATTTTCACATGCTTTTCCAGTCTCGTCGTGATGTCCTGACAGAAACGAAATATGTCGAACTGATCTTAGTGAATGATGACAGTCAGGTAAGTATTTTGCCTTTGCAAATATATGGGAAGTTTTGAAAATGCCTATAACATATATGGAACAAATCTTTAATTAAAGCCCCGTTCAAACATATTGGTCCTAGCCTGATATACCAACCTTAATCGGATTGTTCTCCACCCACTCACAGTAAAGTTTATAATTTATTTAATATCCAATCAAAATATCCCAGGAGAAATTTAAATTTCACACAAAGACAACATTTGTCTGGATAGACCAATCAGATGAAAAGCCGAATTTTGGCTTCTTTGTATGCAGCCAGACAGGGATTTGTGTCAGGCCATATTTTGCCTTCCATCCACCCGCATTTAAGAAAGGGAAACTTGATCCAACATCATTGTTGGCCCGTTTGAACACCGCATGCAGTGTTGGGTAATCTTGGCTGATGGATCAGGTTTGACTTTAAATGTTTTATCCTAGTAGTGCTGTCGGAAGCAAATTATTATTGGGGGGGGGGGAAGTGGCTCAACCAGGGGGGGAGGGGTGGGGGGTCGGAGGCCGGCTCCCCCAGAAAAATTTGCGTTTCCCAATTCTCGGAAAAGCATTTTCCGTGTTTCCTGAGAGGAATGTTTATCAATGTTATGAATTTCTTGCATTTAAAAAATAAAGATTTTGTAATTCACTTTATAACTTTTTACAACTTCATCCTCCCAGTTTTGAAACAACGTTTGCTCCATCACTCAAGCTTTACATTTTATTTCTTATTAACTTTATAAACGTGGTTTTTCCAACGACGAACTAGCTGTTACGGGCCTTACTGATAAGTTGATTGTAATTGCCAGTGCAAGAAATAAAGTATGACAAAAAGATATAATCCTCATGAGTGAGGAAATTACGAGTGGGCCGCTGAACCCCCCCCCCCCAGATCCCTTGCTTCCGACGGCCCTGATTAATCCAAAATTGTTCAACATCGTCCAACACAGTCAGAGTTGTTTGAACGCAGCTATAAACACTATCAGTCTGTGCTTGTAATATTGTGGAAAAGAAGTGCAACAAAGATGTGCATGTTTTTTATCTTTTTACAGTTTCAACTTTATGGCGGTGATATTGCCCAAACTAAACTCAGAGCTATCAGTATAGCTAATGTTGTTGACTCGGTAAGTGTGAGTCTGTCTTGAAAGCTGCATTCAGGTCCATTTAGTTAGCATTGTCGCGCAGCAGATCGTGGTCATCCTGTAGTTATCAGAGTGAGATAGTGATATTAATTATTTGCATATGCAACAAGGGCGTAGCCAGCCCAAACGAGCGGGTGTAGAGGTCGGCGAATACACAGATCACAAAACACCTATGGGTTACAGCTGTCCGGGGTTGTCATTCTCCGGAAAATCTTTCTATTCTTAAGGTCTGGAAAGGCTATTTCATGAATTTTAGACACGTTTTATGATAATATGAAAGTCACAGATTTGGTATTTTTTTATACCATAGATGAAAACATTGCGAGGTTACGCCTCACCCCCCTCCTCACCCCCCCCCTCACCCACTCCAGTTTCGTCTCAGTTTTGGAAGAATTACAAAATTTGCCCTGAGGAAGGAATTCAGGATCAGCCTATCCCCGCCCCCACCCCCATGGCTACCCCTTTGGTGGCCAATTGAAAGTTGTAGTTTAATGTCTTGTTCCTTGGCTGTAAATGTCAACACGTCTGACGTTCACCATATGTGTACCTCATTCTAATTACACCAAACTATCATTTTAGATTTACAAAGTTCATAATATCAGGATTGCTTTGGTGATGGTTGAAACCTGGACAAATGGTGATCGGATATCGGTGGTGACGAATTCCAGTACAACATTGGCAAATTTCAGAAACTACAAAAGAGTTTCCTTGGATGTTAGTGAAGAAACAAGAGATAACGATAATGCTCAGTTACTTTCGTATGTGATTTCATCTGTCATTTTCATACTTTCAAATGTGTGCATGTGGTATTGTAGCCCAGGGCTTAGCTGTAGAGAGAAGGGGATTCCAAATTCCTGGGCCTTGAGTGCAAGGGTGTAAATAAATAATAAAATAACAAATAATAATAATAATGGTTTAATAGCACTTCCACATTGTGGCTATTCTATGCTACAAAAGGTTACATGCATACATTATGACAACATTAACTTACTACAATATTATAGTATATTAGAGACCTATACTTTACAAGAGATAATCAAACGACAAAAACGAAACGAAACAATGGACACATTACGTAACAATATAAACACGTTGTATTGCATACTAAATGTTGCTAATTTTGTTTATTGCTAAGTCTCTGAAATGAGCGAAACAATTTCGGCAACACTCTCTAAAGTATCCTGTGGGAAGAATCTCTAAGGAAATCCTGTGGGAGGTGGGATGAGTTTCCCTCACTTTCTGGTCATTTGTAATATAATATGTCTGTTGACAGGCTTTGTTCCCCCCATATTTGGAATGGAGTTTTCCTCTTGCTTTATGGACTGTGTTAGTAGCTGTACTTATAAACAAGATTAATTTCTTATTGTAGTAGCCTTGTGTTGTAGAGGATGCTGTAAGGGCCATCCCTTATTGCCATGGTGATACTATAGAAAGAAACCAGGGTACCAAATGAAACCTTGCGGTGTTTGGTAGAATTATGAAGCATCCTTGTAACATGCGACAATATTGTGGAAATGGTGAAATACATTTGTACTAATGATTCTGTCACTAACATTCCTAGACCTGGTTCAGCACGTGTTCCTCGTGTTTTACCACATGTTCTATATAATCATTGGTTAATTACAGGCAAACAAACTATGACGGGAACGTCGTGGGTTTGGCATATGTAAGAACAATCTGTGACTCGGACTTCTCTGCTGGTATTGATTCGGTAGGTCGCTAAGCCTTTGTTAATTGTTAATATGTTAAAAGGGTTATATTAGGGTAATCATTGGGATCAAGAGAAATCTATTTGTGCGAGAAGAATGACGATACTGCCAACGATATCATTTGACGATTTGAAACATCGTTCAAAAATTGTTATTTCCCTCTACAAATCTCTTCAACAATTAGTTGTTTCGAGTGAGATGCTCAAAAAATCCTCATATTTACCCATACATCTTACATTCTCATCACCTTTGTATACAGTATGTGCATGAACTTGTGGTTAGAGCTCGTCAACTGGACTCTGTAACTCAGTTGGTTAGAGCGTAGACTTGGATCAAGTCCGTCTCTCAAGAGTAGAGCGTTGCACCGGAATCGCAAGGACGCAGGTTCGATTCCAGCCCCAGGACCGATAGTTGCACATTTCGCAAATGCTCCTGGTTATAGGTCTAGTAAAATGTATAAAAATTCTAATCGAAATTTTCATCTACAAAACCCCTCGACAACTGAATAAACAATAATGTTCCTGGATTAAGCTAAACATGATTTGAAACATGTTGCAGGGTGCATGACATTTTCCTATTTGTATCACACAGGATACGCATTCTAATGCAGCATTCACGGGTACTGTAATGGCGCATGAAATGGGACACAATTTTGGTCTCTTACACGATGATGGTAAATTATTTTCTTTAATTTTTGTTCTCCTTTTTTTGTTACGCTATTCAACACCATCCTCCATACCAATATCACTGCAAGAGTTGTTGTGAAAATAACACTATTTTTGTTTTCTTAAGGTTGCGAGACGTGTCCATCAGATAGGTGTGTTATGAGCGCTTTCCTAAGGTGACTTCTTTTGTCATTAATCCTATCCGGACTGGGATACATTTAAATGTTTAAATGTATGGGAAATTAATAGGATTCGTTTTACAATCTTTGTCAAAATCGTACTTCACGTACGTTATCATGGATTCCATTCCAGACCCTCCAAGAAGCAACAAAGCGATGAAGGGCGTCCAAGCCGTGCAGTGTTGTTCAAATATATTATTACACTTATGTTGTCATGGCAACAAACTATGATGTCATTGTGCCGCCATTAATTCGGACGTTTGGAATTTTCATTTTTAATTAACAGTGTGGAAATTTAGTGTTGGTAGGTGTTTTCCACACATAAAGCCCATAAATATTGGTTTAGGAGTTTCAAAATCAGCGCGAGCACTTTTTCACCCCCCCTCCCTTCGAAGGCCCTTTGTTAGAAGAGTTAGCCAGGAAATTAACACTAGCTGTGTTAGTTTGATTATATATGATTCCATTAGAACATGATTACACACACTCAGTCAATCAATCAGATCTCAGTATTTTAGCGATATATATCCTATAAAGAAACTGTTTCATTCTGACTTCCTAGCAATTACAGTGGGCCGACATAACTGATCAGTCGGCTCTATAATGGAGCATACTAATGAGGGATTCAACAAAAGATAAACAAAGCAAAACAAAACCAGTTGTTAGTATTCTCTATAATAGAGCATACCAATCAGATATACACCATACTAATCATAGTTTAAAGATAAAGAGCAGAGCCCAGCAACTTATTAGCTAACGTTTCGTTGTTTACAATACAACATCTTCAGACCAATCTAAATGAATTTACAGGGTATGGTATATATATATTTACAAAATAATGGTTTAATATTACAAAAACGATTTGAATAGAAAGAAAGGAAAACAACTTATCAGTGACTTATTAATTAGTAAAGATTAATGTTAAGTACATGGTTAGTATATAAACACATGCACAAACACCCAGTCTCCGCTTCTGATTTAAATATTCTATCATCAGGCACTTCTGAGTGGGATCTTCTTATCCGTGAAAGCCTATTAATTTCTCAACTTAACCCTGTCCTTAATGCTAATATTAGATCTACCTCTCTTGAGTTATTTTAGTTATGTAATATTAACCTTAACTATATACTAACCATGCACTTAACATTAATCTTTACAAATAAAATAGTTACTGATAAGTTGTTTTCCTTTCTTCCTATTCATTCGTTCTTTCAAACTAAGTAACCGTTTTTGCAATATTAAACCATTATTTTGTAAATATACCATACCCTGTAAATTCATTTAGATTGCTCGGAAGATGTTGTATTGTAAACAACGAAACGTTAGCTAATATTTTTTTTTACTTTTAATATGTTTGGTTTTAAACTTATTTGCTGGGCTCTGCTCTTTATCTTTAAATTAAGATTTCCGCCTGGTGAATCAATTACCACACTAATCAGTTCAACAAAGTCACTGCGAGTATTAATCGAAAACATATAATAAATTAAAAATACCTCCGATAAATATAAAGAAAAAAATATTTTTCGTGGATGTGATTATGTTCTAAGTCGGCTAGACAATGATCACTTGTGTTCAGTGGAATATACATTTCCTTGAGTTAGACAGACTCTCGTGTCCGTCCAACTAATGTTCTAAGTCGGATAAACAATGATCACTTGTGTTCAGTGGAAGATACTCTTCCTTGAGTTAGACAGACTCTCGTGTCCGTCCAACTAATGTTCTAAGTCGGATAGACAATGATCACTTGTGTTCAGTGGAAGATACTCTTCCTTGAGTTAGACAGACTCGCGTGTCCGTCCAACTAATGTTCTAAGTCGGATAAACAATGATCACTTGTGTTCAGTGGAATATACATTTCCTTGAGTTAGACAGACTCTCGTGTCCGTCCAACTAATGTTCTAAGTCGGATAGACAATGATCACTTGTGTTCAGTGGAAGATACTCTTCCTTGAGTTAGACAGACTCTCGTGTCCGTCCAACTAATGTTCTAAGTCGGATAGACAATGATCACTTGTGTTCAGTGGAATATACACTTCCTTGAGTTAGACAGACTCTCGTGTCCGTCCAACTAATGTTCTAAGTCGGATAGACAATGATCACTTGTGTTCAGTGGAATATACATTTCCTTGAGTTAGACAGACTCTCGTGTCCGTCCAACTAATGTTCTAAGTCGGATAGACAATGATCACTTGTGTTCAGTGGAAGATACACTTCCTTGAGTTAGACAGACTCGCGTGTCCGTCCAACTAATGTTCTAAGTCGGATAGACAATGATCACTTGTGTTCAGTGGAATATACATTTCCTTGAGTTAGACAGACTCGCGTGTCCGTCCAACTAATGTTCTAAGTCGGATAGACAATGATCACTTGTGTTCAGTGGAATATACATTTCCTTGAGTTAGACAGACTCTCGTGTCCGTCCAACTAATGTTCTAAGTCGGCTAGACAATGATCACTTGTGTTCAGTGGAATATACATTTCCTTGAGTTAGACAGACTCGCGTGTCCGTCCAACTAATGTTCTAAGTCGGCTAGACAATGATCACTTGTGTTCAGTGGAATATACATTTCCTTGAGTTAGACAGACTCGCGTGTCCGTCCAACTAATGTTCTAAGTCGGCTAGACAATGATCACTTGTGTTCAGTGGAATATACACTTCCTTGAGTTAGACAGACTCTCGTGTCCGTCCAACTAATGTTCTAAGTCGGATAGACAATGATCACTTGTGTTCAGTGGAATATACACTTCCTTGAGTTAGACAGACTCTCGTGTCCGTCCAACTAATGTTCTAAGTCGGATAGACAATGATCACTTGTGTTCAGTGGAATATACATTTCCTTGAGTTAGACAGACTCGCGTGTCCGTCCAACTAATGTTCTAAGTCGGATAGACAATGATCACTTGTGTTCAGTGGAATATACACTTCCTTGAGTTAGACAGACTCTCGTGTCCGTCCAACTAATGTTCTAAGTCGGATAGACAATGATCACTTGTGTTCAGTGGAATATACATTTCCTTGAGTTAGACAGACTCTCGTGTCCGTCCAACTAATGTTCTAAGTCGGCTAGACAATGATCACTTGTGTTCAGTGGAATATACACTTCCTTGAGTTAGACAGACTCTCGTGTCCGTCCAACTAATGTTCTAAGTCGGCTAGACAATGATCACTTGTGTTCAGTGGAAGATACATTTCCTTGAGTTAGACAGACTCTCGTGTCCGTCCAACTAATGTATGATTCCAGCTATAGACGAAATTTTGATCTAAACAAGAAGAACGAAATCCATTACCATAGCTGAAAAGAGCATCTTCAAATGAGTAAAATTGCAAAGTTTGGTTGCGAATTGTTGTAAAATGAGGAAGATATAGCCCTGTGAAGTTCGTAAATTTTGTATATATTTGCATTACGCGCGGGAAAAATAACCATTTTTGAGCCGAAAGTGGTTATTTTTACCACGCCTAATTCAAATATATACAAAATTTGCGAACTTCACAGGGCTATATATTCTTCATTTTACAACATTTAGCAACCAATTTTTGCAGTTTACTCATTCGACGACGCTCTTTCAGGCTGTGATGCTGAATTTCTTGTCTTGATCAAAATGTAGTCTATAGCTGGAATCATCCATTCTTGGAAGTTTGTCTTCCACTAAATACACGTGCTCATTGTTTATCCGATGCGAATATACAAGAATTCTCTGCTTATTCTCTACTTAAGAGAATTGGACTAAAAGATTTCCCTAATTTCTCCATTACGTAGTATACCTAAGAACTTACATATATTATTTACAACATGAGCGGCCATGTTGTGTCGGATATACAAACTCTGGTCTTCGGCTCGATACAACATGGACGCGAATGAGAACGTTCGTTCATTCGTATACGAATAATATTTGGAGAGAAAATTGTACTTAAAGTTTATGTAAATCAGCATGATTTCTGTATCAGATATATAGAAACTCCTTCACGCTCATGCTTTCTTTTGTGTTTTCTTCATGGATTATTAATGAGTTTCACAAATATTTTTACTAAATAACATTTTAAATATGTTTAGCTCAACACCACCAGAGCAATTTTCCCAGTGCAGCATAGATGATCTTCAGACTTTACTTTTGAATAATGTTGGGCATTGTCTCTTCAACCAACCAACAAAGGTATATTGTAAAATATTCTCTATCCAGTTTCCGTACAGGTTTAACAAAAGAAACAAATGATATATATATATATATATATATATATATATATATATATATATATATATATATATATATATATATATATATATATATATATATATATTATATACATATATATACTATATATATATATATATATATATATATATATATATATATATATATATATTTATCACATACTTGTACCTTTATCAGGTAGGAAGCAGCGGGACATAAAAACGATATCGTCCCGGATATCGTTTTTTGTCCCGGATATCGTTTTTTGTCCCGGATATCGTTTTTTGTCCCGCTAAATTTCGCGCGTTGTCAAAACAAAGATGGCCGACTCGAGGTTCGTGTTGGTTGATGTCGACAGTTTATCGAAGAAAACACAACGATAATACAAAATGAAAGATTTAAATTGTATATTATTTATTTGAATGGTCTATTTATTTTCTAAAATCATATTTGTTCAGTAAATGATGAATTGTTTTGAATTCTAAAATGATCCTATTTTTTCAAAACTGTTTACTTTTGGGTGTCAAACCCTGATAAAGGTACAAGTATATAATAAATAGGTTATCGTACTCGGGATTCGGTGATATCAGTTTTATCGCTCTCGTGACGATATCACAATTGTCCCTCGCTCGCTGCGCTCGCTCGTGACAATTGTGATATCATCCCTCGAGCGATAAAACTGATATCACCTTATCCCTTATATGATAACCTATATATACGTACACTTTTATAACCAGGAACAGTTGCGATAAATGGAGAAAAAACCTTTCAAGTTGACCTTCACTTCATAACGTGCACACCCGACATATATATACAAGAACCAATTGTTCACTCTCGTCCGGAATCCAAGGGCAGTATACAGGTTCAATTCCTGCCAGAGCCGAACATAGTGCTGCCGTTTCTAGTTAGGTGTAAAAATTGGGCACATACAGTAGATGCTGTGTTAGATTATCCACCAAACTCAGCATTCTAGTTCAACCAAGTGAAGTGCAAAACACATCTTTTAGGATGACAATTTTTTAATTGTGTGTGTTTATATTATGTACTCAGGTGAATATGATGTTTGTGATGTTATTCTGAGTGTGCATCCACACCGGGCAAGCTGAAAAGTTTGCCTGACCACGGTGGGAATCGAACCCGCGACCTTTGGGATACTAGCCCAATGCTCTCTAATTATATCACCAACTCGAACCGACTTGACCTCGTAGCTCAGTTTGTAGAGCATTGGACTAGTATCCCAAAAGTCGCGGGTTCGACTGATGTGCTAAGTGAAACCTACCTTACTACGTTTAACTGAGGTTTGTTTACGGGAAATCTTGCGAGTTTTAAATATTCTTTTTTATCCCAGCTGGCAACAGACCCAGCCTGTGGCAATGGTTTCGTGGAGAATGGAGAGGAGTGTGACTGTGGTACACAAGAGGTAACTAAAAAAATTCCTAGCTATGTTTACTAGCCATGTTTCCTTGCTATATTTCCTACTGTAGGTATGTTTCCTAGCTATGTTTCCTAGCCATATTTCCTAGCCATATTTTCTAGCCATGTTTCATAGGTATGTTTCCTAGCCATGTTTCCTGGCTACTGTATGTTTTCAAGCTATGTTTCCTAGCTATGTTTCCTAGCTATGTTTCCTAGCTATGTTTCCTAGCTATGTTTCCTAGCTATGTTTCCTAGCTATGTTTCCTAGCTATGTTTCCTAGGTATGTTTCCTAGCTATGTTTCCTAGCTATGTTTCCTAGCTGTGTTTCCTAGCCATACATGCTTCCTATCCATGTTTCCTAGCCATGTTCCCTAGCCATGTTTTCTAGCTATGTCTCCTAGCTATGTTTCCTAGCTATGTTTCCTAGCTATGTTTCCTAGCTATGTTTCCTAGCTATGTTTCCTAGCTATGTTTCCTAGCTATGTTTCCTAGCTATGTTTCCTAGCTGTGTTTCCTAGCCATACATGCTTCCTATCCATGTTTCCTAGCCATGTTCCCTAGCCATGTTTTCTAGCTATGTCTCCTAGCTATGTTTCCTAACCTTGTTTCCTAACCATGTTTCCTAGTCATGTTTCCTAACTATGTTTCCTAACCATGTTTCCTAGCCATGTTTCCTAACTATGTTTCCTAACCATGTTTCCTAGCCATGTTTCCTAGCCATGTTTCCTAACCATGTTTCCTAGCCATGTTTCCTAACTATGTTTCCTAGCCATGTTTCCTAACTATGTTTCCTAACCATGTTTCCTAGCTATGTTTCCTAGTCATGTTTTCTAACTATGTTTCCTAGCCATGTTTCCTAGCCATGTTTTATAGCCATGTTTCCTAGCTATGTTTCCTAGCCATGTCTCCTAACCATGTTTCCTAGCCATGTTTCCTAACTATGTTTCCTAGCCATGTTTCCTAACTATGTTTCCTAACCATGTTTCCTAGCTATGTTTCCTAGTCATGTTTTCTAACTATGTTTCCTAGCCATGTTTCCTAGCCATGTTTTATAGCCATGTTTCCTAGCTATGTTTCCTAGCCATGTCTCCTAACCATGTTTCCTAGCCATGTTTCCTAACTATGTTTCCTAGCCATGTTTCCTAACTATGTTTCCTAACCATGTTTCCTAGCTATGTTTCCTAGTCATGTTTTCTAACTATGTTTCCTAGCCATGTTTCCTAGCCATGTTTTATAGCCATGTTTCCTAGCTATGTTTCCTAGCCATGTCTCCTATAGCGATGTTTCCTAGCCATGTTTTCTAGCCATGTCTCCTATAGCCATGTTCCCTAGCCATGTTTTATAGCCATGTTTCCTATCTATGTTTCCTAGCTATGTTTCCTAGCTATGTTTCCTAGCCATGTCTCCTATAGCGATGTTTCCTAGCCATGTTTTCTAGCTATGTTTCCTAGTCATGTTTTCTAACTATGTTTCCTAGCCATGTTTCCTAGCCATGTTTCCTAGCAATGTTTCCTAGCCATGTTTCCTAGCCATGTTTCCTAGCCATGTTTCCTAGCCATGTTTTCTAGCTATGTCTCCTAACTATGTTTCCTAACCATGTTTCCTAGTCATGTTTCCTAGTCATGTTTTCTAGCTATGTCTCCTAACTATGTTTCCTAACCATGTTTCCTAGCCATGTTTCCTA